TTCCGCCGAGAGATTCGTGGCCGGTCGTTGGCCGATGAAAAACATCGTCGACGAGAGAGGCCTGCCACGAACCGAGCGTAATGAAAAAAAAAAAAACGGAGAGGGACCATGGAACGGCTCGTAATATCGGCCACCGCTCTCCAGTCGTTTCATGGCACCGACTACTGCGATTATTGCGTCATCGATACGGTGGATGCGGTGAATTTGCAATTGCCGATTCATAATCGCTAAATATTATTTATCTTAAGTCTCGAGTAGAAATTTAAGTATTTGGCAGCATGGACATGAGAGTATACAATATCATTGAACGCTCCAGTTCAAGTACTAACTTTTTCTAAATCTACGTAATAACAGTTCGTTTGTTATTCTAATTTAGTTCGACAAACCAACGACATATCGTCGATTGCGTTTTCGACGCAGCTAAGTACGAGATCGTGAAATATAAAGCGATAAAGTAGAATCATAGAACCGACAAACCCAATAAATCCATAATACTTTTACGAACAAAAGAGCAAAAAGATGATACACGTATCATACTTCCCAAAGAGTACACAGGAACTTCCCCTAAACCGCAGAAAGATACTCTTGTTCTGTGCAAAACCACGCCAGGTCAACGACTCTTTAACTGGTACGAAATTAACCCTTTGCAAGAGACTTCTACCTCCACTCAGGAGTCCTCATAATCGCTTGTTTCTAAACCTCAATTTCGTCTCACGGCAAATTATATCAAAGTGAGAGATAACGTGAGAAATAGAGGAAGAGACAGGTCCGTTGATTCGTGCAGCAGAACCGTTTCCACGTATATAACTCGATCTACGTTAAGGTGTCCACCCACGATAGCGTGTCTACGACCAACCTGACCGCTTATCGACATCTGTAAGTGCACCTTGAACGAGCACAGCGACGACTTTATCCATCGTACTGATTCAGCACGGCTGGTTATCAATAAATTAACGTGGCGTAAACTTGACGCGTTATCGCCGTCACGCCTCTCTCTTTCTCAGTCGAAATCGGCGAATCGTGGGATGGACGTATTGCAACAGTGCGATAACGATAAACGCATCGCAATCACTAGAATGCCAATTCAACGAACGGCTACCCACGAATCGCTAATTTATTCAAAAAACTTGTTTATTTAATCAAAAATATTTATTTTTCTTAATTTTCTTTAATTTAACTTCCTAATTTTTCGCATTTCATCGTAACAAGAAATTCAATCTCTCATAACGCAGAAATAACGTTATAGATTCAATCATCGTATGTTTCCTGCAAAGATTCCCAAAGGGTAAGCGTGAGCCATTTTCATTGCAACCTGCGCAACCTCTACATAGGAAAATGTGAACCAGCAAAACCATTCAGAGAAAAGAGAAAAATTCCTTTAATCGCATGTACTCTGCAAGTACAAATTTCTCCGATAGCATATCGATATTACGTCGATTCATCGCTTTAACAGCTGAGCAATCTTCTGGGCTAGTACGTAAGTAATACGTTGCAAATTTAGGTGTAGCGTATCGTGTACACACATGCGTATGCACCTGCGATTTGGTTTAACTCACACGACACCGTTCATTCCTGTCGCGTTGTAATCGAACGTAAACGTTTTCAGTTCCCGTTTACACAAAACCATACAAACAACACGCACACGAATCGTTTCAGCATAAACCACCAACCTGAATGTTCGGTACGTTTCTCGGCGAAAGATGTCCACGTATACATTAATAAAAAGTCGTCAGCAAGAACACACGGCTCGAGCGGCGCATCTTGCACGCGATATCAAACTTTCCTATAAAGCTTAATCGCGGTTGAAGACCTTCGGCATAATCCAGACGTGGATTAAGATGCAACCGTACAAGCATATTCTTCACAAAGTACCAGCCATCGGCCTTTATTAAAAGCCTTTATTAATGTCAGGTTGTTTCAAAACTCAGTTTCATGGTCTGACTGGATAAAATCTCTAACAAAGGTGCATTATCTCTATAACTGAGGCTTTAGAAGCTACAAATTACTATATATCTCAGGAGCACGTGCGCTTCCAACATCCCACTAATTTCCCTATTGGAATATCAGGAACCTGAAGTTCTATCACGGTAATTAATTTTCTGTAACCAGAACTTTGTCTGTTAACAGCTTCTTAACCCTTGGAAACGACTTTTTCGAAGGATTAACATTCTCCTGACCATTCCGGTATGGAGCAAGATTTCCCAGAAGCATAGTTCACCGACAATTTCGCCAACAGCTCAACTAGGTTTATTGGTGTACGAAGTAAAGATATGGGAAATTCTGGAGGGACATGGAATGGTTATGAAAGGGAACATCTGAATTATGCTACGTAACCGTGCTACATTGTCTCGTACGTAGGACAGAATGGATCATATTATCAACAACGGGAAAGTGTTATTAGTCGATTATTACATGGAAGCATTGAGTGAAGATGGTAGTCGAGTAGAGGACGTGAAAATGGCTGTTTAACCTATTCGAATGCTCGTATCGCATTTTACGAACAAAATGCTCAAATATTTAATTGCTGCGTTGAAATAAAAAAATATTAACTTTTCGGTGTAGTTTTGAGATAATCGAATAAAAAATTTAAATTTCAATTTAGAGATTATATTTATAAGGCTTGATTTAATTGCATATTACTCAAACACTTGGTGTTTAAAGTGAAATTATGACAATGTTTAATAACAATCTAGGTTATCTTCTATAATTGTAACCCTATACTGTATTACTATAATTGTAAAAGTAATATGCATGTTATACAATGTATAGGACGATGAAAACAGGTTACGTTACAGGCTGATAAACTACGCACTATTGGAAATCTATAATGCAATGTCCTGTACGCGCGAAAGCATGCCGAGGCATTGTTGTAGCAAAAATAATATGAATTACGATCAGTACTTCTTGCAAACAATTTGTACACGGTTACAAATGAAATAAAGGTTCAATAAAACAATATATCAAGTAAGAACGGGTAGACAGAAGGCGAGAAAAGAATCTATCGTTATCTCTTATCATCTGATTATACACTGTATAATGTGTTCTACCTGATATGAAAAATAACACTGAAGCAACATGTAAATAAAAGTGTTTCAAAGTTTTATTAAAAAACTATTCTTAATATAATACAAAACAAAAATAGATGAATAATATTTGTATTATGACTCAATATAGTTCTTTCCAGGCTGAACTTCTTTGGACAATGAGTAAAATGTTGTTGTTACCAGTTATTAAAAATAGATACCGATATTTACGTTGGCTATAAAAAAGCATTAAAACTTTTTTGCTCCTTCTCTGCTTCGCAAAGGCCACGATTTTTCCAACAACTCAAGTCTTTAGAATACTTTCGTGAACAGAAGTGATGTAAGTATACTTCAACAACGCGACCACGAGAATCGTTGAATACATAAATGCACGTGCAGTATTTCCGTATCGCGCGTGCTGATCGTAGATAAGCAGTAACGATCAAAAGAAAGATACACCCGCACACCAAGCACGTATACTGTGTACCATGTAGACGCTACAAGATTATAAAAAAATTGTTTCCATCTACATAAAACGCGTTCGTCCTATTCACGCGACTCAATTAGTTACGTTCTCTTAAATGTCGTCAGATATAAAAACCTGTTTCTCTCGCAATTATCAGCATCGTCTGCCTAGCCAGAATTCTCCCATTCAACGGCGTTTCAACTATTACAAGACACACTCTGCCTCCGCTCGACTGTTTGAATGAACCGCTTCCATTTACCGATCCTCGGCACGAAATCTGCTTCTCACGCGTAATCGCGGCGATTCGCAGCTCGACTCGCGCAGAGCATTAGTCAAATTAATGGAAAAAATCCAGCCAGTTCCCCAGCTAAGCTGATACCCCAAGCGGCGTGTAAAAGCGACGCGAAAGAAAACCGTGTTTTCACATCGGATGTTTCATTCCGCGCAGCGACATTCGCGGATGCAAGGGAAAAGACAAAAGAAATGGAAGGGATACCGAGAAGAAGGAAAGAATGGTTTAAGGATGTTCCAAAAAAGATTTTTCACTGTTCAGAGATTTACGATCTGCGTTGTTTTGTTGCTTCGACCCGGATTTTGTATGCTGAGTAGGGTATTGTATAGGGTGTGTGCTTCTTCTTCCTGTATACTAAAAATATACCTGTTTCTATTGATAACATAAAAATTAAAGAGTTGAAGAAATAAATATTTTAAGGTAAAAACAAATTTTTCCTAAAACTCCATCTACTTGGCAACTATTTTTAAAACTTACATCTTTGGCTCTAAGCGGTGTAAAATGGAAAAATCGAATACTTATCGTGTTCTTCTCTTATAATCTTCAAATACGTTCATTTGTTCGTCACACGAATCTCACGGTTCTATTCCATCAACGTCTCATACAAGGACAGCGGAAAAGTGAGTAAATTCATCCGACATAAAAATCCTTGAACGGAAGAAAAAAGGAACAGAGAACAAGGATAAAGAAGAATGTTAGCCAAGACGTTGGAAATTCTATGGTAAGATGTGATTATCAGGAAAAGAGAAACATAAAGAACGGTAAAACGCTGGCTTCCAGCCAGGTCAATGCGAAAGTACCACGCAACGTATACGATAGACGGTTGCCTTCGATTGAATCTCGCTATTATATCTGCATCACTGAACTGCTGATCATACGAACGTGGATTACAGGAGCTGATGTCAATGCTACGATTGCAGTAACATGTTAGCTACGTAGCCAACATGTACGAACGGGAATCGATGAATACAATTCAGGTCATTGGCAATACCACGTTAAAGCGCCTGTCGGGCAGGTAACTGCGGACTTTCGATCGAGGAGAAAGCCACAAAATTCTCAGGTATTTCTTCGAACTTACGTGTATCGATACTCCGTGAGATTTTTAATCTTACGAGCTCGTTAACCAGTTTGTCGGTGACTCACGACACTGTTTTCAGTGACGCAATAATTACGGTACTATTTTATCAATTGGTAAGTCGTTATTGTAGTGTTATTTTGATATTTTTCATTTAAGAAACTCGTTAACGAGTTTGTTCGCATACTTTCAGAAGGATTTGTTACATTCTTGATTTTTATCCGGATCTTTGAACAATGTTGCGAATTACATCGTCTATAGATGTGAAAAAGTTAATTAAAAGGCATCGTTAACGGCAGTGCTTTGAGTTAGCGAGTTCGCGCAGCTTTTATCGTCACTACACCGTCGACGTTCACTGTACAGAGTATCGTGTACTCTGGCCAATCATTTACGCCACTTTACAGCTTAAGCTTGAATCAGCAGCCAGCAACGGCAGACAGCAATGACACGATGCCATCTAAATTAATCCTTCTTGCGTATAATTAATGTGGAACACTTATACTCTCGAGTATAACACGAGGTCGAGTACCAATAAAATTGAAGGCGCAAATAAGGCAATGGAACGATACGTCACGAATCGTTTGCATCTTTTTCTTATAAACGGATACTTTTCATCGACGCATGTTCGACCGCAGCTGCGTTTATGCGAGTTGCTGATTACATAGATGCAGATTAACAAAACGTCAAAGGCCGAGCATGCAATATGCACGTGGATAAGCAGGTCTTTGTAACGAGACGTCTTAAGAAAGATAGATCGCGTCCAAAGCTCCATTTAAGAATCCACGATGCGAAGACCTAGTTGAATTGGCTTGACCGATAAACTAGCTTCTATTCATTGCATGATCTCAAAAATTTGATCTTAGTACGCGGCTATACAATTAAATCGAATAATTAAGCTGATTTCAAAATTTTAAGTTGATATCACACGCGTATCGCAAAATTACGTGTAGACTCGAATCTGAGACATACAGAAAAATATGTTAATGATTGTAAATTAAACAATTAAATTATTACGTATAGATAAAACGAATGAGATATCAAAGCGCCACCTTGCTTCCTCTAAGGTAACGAAATTGGGCGGTTGCAAGGAAAATTTATGCCTATTATCCAAGATCTTGATGAACTATTTAGGTATGATGATTAACGACGAGTAATCGTGTGATATCGGCTCGTAAAGAGAAATCGAAGAAGGGAGGAGGTTTTTTTCCATGCCGAGAGGCATTTGCCTTGATATCAAAATTGGTTTCAATACCTTCAATGCCACCCGGACAAGGCTTGCCAATGGAGCAAAGTGACGGGCAATTTACTGCCACTTTTCACTTTCGAGAAATGACGCCGAGTAAACGAATCACTTCACTCTGTTGATTCATGCTTAATGACTTTCAAACTTAATATGCAATTCTCTATTGAACATTACCGTTAAGTGCCATATAATATGTAGACCTGATAAAAGCACTATTAAAAAGAACCAATTTCACTCTTAAACTTACCTCTTCCACTAGTTAAACACGCGATTAAAAACAGATTGAATAGTCATAAACACTATCATCATCAGCCGAGTGCAAATTGAATATTTCATGTACACCACAGTCGTTCGATCGTCATCGTTCTGAACTCGAACGAAGTCGATAACTGCTTGCCAGGGAGCATTTCCGCTGCTTTACTCAGCGTGGAACATACGTAATATTTTTGTACATCGTCCAATATAGGTAGGTCTAGAACCGCGACCCAATTTCTCGGATACCATGTGTCTGAAAACGCGGTCAGGTATTATTCTGCGTAGGAATACATATTATGCAATACAAACGTAACAGCATGTACTGCTCGATTAATACAGAGTAAAGATGCGCCAAGGCGGATCCACTTGTTCCATGCGTATAAGTACTACACGTTCGTTGCTCCAATTTGATTAGTCAGAAACCGACCGTTCTCGATGCGAAGATTATTATTGTCATACATTAAAATTATTATCTCACATATCAGGCGTGTAAATTGATTTTGCAACGAATTTAATCCTTCGATAATAATAATAATAAAATTCTGAATGTTTGCTTAAGAAATAAATCTCTTTATTCTCATGATTTCCTGCATTTCTGATTTCATATACAGAAATATGTACACGTTTTCAACTTTTTGTAGAAAGTAAATATTGTCACGAGTATTTGACAGCTATAGGTATAGAATAACAAATTTAATAGAAAGAACAGCCAGACGTTTCTGGACTCTCAGAGTGTAGTTTTTAGTATAAGTAATTTTTTAGTACATTTTTTGTTTTAGTATAAGTAACTTCCTTGCGAAAAGTGAAGGTGGTATTGTATTCTTCATTACCTGCAACTTGTCTATTATCTTGTTTCTACTTAGAAGATTGAAATTGAGGCTCCTAGTCTCAATATCATAAAATGACCACAATACCGTCAGTCTAAATTTTCCTATGTAGAAAAAAATTTACGACACAGCGAAAACATTTCAAGGAAGTATGACACAAAGATACAAATTTTTAACCAGAGATTGCCTTCAAGTAGATAATTTTATCTTTCTCTACCAGAACCGGTCAAGTAGTCATTCTAGATTCTACTCTGAGCAATTCTTTTCCTTTTACGATCCTGCTAAGGACACAGATGCATACGTATATATATATATTACATGGTGCTTGTAACATGTTAATGATTGTCTATAATATTTTTGACAAATTCTATTTAAAAGTATGAAAAAAATTATGTGTTATTTTTGTCATCATTTTGTCATACCTACATTGCAAATTTGATTAATTTGCATTCGATTAAGAGAGAACGGATCTTTTTTAGTGTACCAGAATTATTTAATCACTTACGAATACTTAGTGTAATAAAAATAAGATATCGAAAATAAAAGAGGAGCAAACGCGTAAAGGGAAAAGAAAATTGTACAGAAGTAAAGGAACAATTAAGACTGACGAGTCAAATTTCCAATTAATAAATACATATGATATTGCTTGAATCTTGTCTTTATGAACGTGATGCGCTGGGACAGATGCCGAAAGCAGAAGAGGACACGGTGCAGAACTCGAAAATCGTTATGCGAGACAGAAAAAGTTGTCGGGCTGGTGTGACACTGGATCGTGCCGGAGAAATTTAAGCGCGTGTATTGAACATGAAAGAAGAGCATAACGAACAGTCGAGAGAGACGAGTAAAAGAAATAAAAAGAAGGAGGCGACGTGAATCGGCGAGGCATGAATAACTCGTTATTTGAACATTGTATGGGAAAAAATTATTACGACGGAAAAATACGTATTGAGAGCGACAAAACGATGTTTCCTTTTTATCTAGTTAAATATAATATACAGCTGACCCTCAAATAACATGGGTTTGTACAACGCGGATTTCTTTCTCGGTCAATATTGTATGTGTTTCCACGAAAAGATACATACTATGTACATATGTAAACCGTGTAGTAAATCGTGACTTTGTAACAAACTAGACGGCTAACGAAGAGCGTTTAAAAGAACGCGAATCGCCGTTGCTAAAAGACAATCGGGCACATAATGCCAATAACATTGCCGTTGTCGTGAGATCAGTCATGCTTCAATCATCGGATCATCACAGCAAATGTAATATGCATCTAAATAACATAAGCGCGCATGTGTGTATATGCGTATTTTCTCTTCCTTATACTAGGTAATTTTCTTAATAACATTTCCTTTTCTCTAACTTATTTTAATATAAGAATACAATAATAGCATGTGTATGTACATATGTAGTATACAGAATAAAGCTTTCAGTCGACAACAGATTATTACACGCGTATATGTACATACATAGTCAAGTTTTTGGAGATTCCAAAATTATACGCGCACATTGTTCGATGGTCAGCTGTAGTAGAAGTTAAAATATCAAAACAACAATTAACGGAAAAATCGATTAGCCAAACAATTAATGGAAAATTTAAAGATGATCTCTTGTAAAAAAGATTGAGCTAATACCCGAGGGCTAATATCGCGTAAGCAATATTTTGGAAAATAACGAACGCTTACGAACAGTTACTGACCCATGCCATTCATATTTCAATGTTACGTATAATTATCAGAAATATGCGTATCTCTCGCGGAACTTATTGGCAATGCAATTACTACTTTGAAACGTTATAAACGACAGAAACATGTCGAAATTATCGCATTATTACGGCATAATGTCGAAAATCGTTGCATCGAATTCGTCGATATTAAACCAAGTGTTTCAAAGATTTTCTTGCACCGTACACAACACGAAAGTGTGGACAAACGAGCCGCGATGCAAAACGCGTTGGATTGTGCAACGACGCTCGATTATGGAAGCCTGCAGGTAAGTTGTCCCCGTTTCTTCTGCCATATGCCACATTCCACCGTTTGGCAAAAGCACAGAGGAGCTCTCCGCAATCACCACGAATGTAGAAACAATGCGCCGCGTAACGATGCGCTTTTTCTCGAAAAAAAGAAAGAAGAAAAAAATAGAAAGTGGAAAGCCATGGTGATATTACGGCGGATTCCGAACCGATGATCGCTCGACCGTGCTTCGGCAACTACTCTACCATTCTTCTACCATTTACCCGTGCACCGTTATGCTGTAAACAGCCCACGAAGGGTCAACATTCGCGTCGTGCAGTGCACCTGTTTCGTTTCTCGTATTGCATTGCATGAATTTCTGACCGAAGAACGGACATAAATACGTTCGAAAGCGTTTCATTGTTGGTAAGATAGCTAAGTAAACGAAACGTTTGATGCGATCGTGCAATGCTTAAATATATACAGTACTATTGTAGTCATACTGTTAGACAACTGTGGTTTAGTTCAATTAGTTCTCGTACCGTAAGGCACATGTTACGAGTAAAACGTGTTAACTAAATTTATCACTTGTCTGTTATTCAATTTCGCACGAAGACTTCCCGTATTTGAATAATTTTGAAAAATTGCTCACGTTAAAGGGGCATGATTAAGAATTTCATCGTCACCATCACGACCAGTATTCACAGTATGATATAACTGTTACTTTCTACCAGCTGAGAAGATGATACGTCGCGATGTAATTCTGCATGCTTAGAATGTACAGTTACAAAACAAATAACCTTTTGCTTCGAGTCATCCGAACGTGTCGCAAATCCAATTGATCGTTTTAATATCTATATGAATTTTAACAATCCGAAACAGTCAGTTACACTTTTAAAACCAAATCTTGTTTACACGTGAAATTGGAAACTCATCGGTGAAATACGATATTTTAGAAGAACTTGTTTAGCGACGCGTTGATAATGGATTTGAGAATAAAACGTTGAAATCTAGATTCTGCATCGTACGCGGAATTTAATCATTTTTTTGTCCGCTGACAGTCGCGTTACTTCATCTGCGGTTTTGCGTCTGAATCACCGCAAGACGGAATAACCTTTATTGTTTGTATGAAATGCAGCGAGCCTTGTAAACTACCGACTAATATGAATTTATGACGCATACAGCTAATACGTTCTGCGTAAATCGATATGAATGGATCTTCGAGCGGGCAAAAGCGGTCGAGATGCAAATCAATCATGGATGCTGTTGAGAAGAAAAAGATATTTGGTTCGAAACGTTTTACGAAGTTAGAAAATTATGATGTTAGAACTAAGATCGTATGTAAATGTGAATCTGGTCATTTTAGCTGATCTCGTGTTTTTCTTTCGTATCAATTTAGCGTTACTATGTACTAATTTGGCAACTTTGATAGTGAATAAACGTTTGACATCTTCCACTAGAAATTTTTTATTTGACTGATTCTTACGATTGTTACGATTAAGGGGAGGAGGGGTAAGGTTAATTCGTACAAAATAAGGCATGTTTTTGTGAATTACTTGTGACGACACAGTTAAAATCTCTTTATTAAAACCAATAATAGATTAAAGTATGACATTCGAAGAATATTGTATACAATTTTCACGGAGAAATATTAAAAAATGCGGCAATTGCAGCAATTATTCGGACGTGTCTCGGAAAAAAGGTAGAATTGCGGTGCCCCTGATAACTTGGTGCTGGATCATCTGAAATAAAAAAATCAAAGTTCATTCGTTAGGTAACAGTTTTCCCCAGGTAACGCTGGGAGGGTCTTTCGAAATTTCAATTTTTCACTTTTTTGGAACACTTTGAAGGGATAAATTAACCGATTTTGCGAAAATTTGCGGCTAATTTTCCCTTCAAAGTGTTCCAAAAAAGTGAAAAATTGAAATTTCGAAAAACCCTCCCAGCGTTACCTGTGGAAAACTGTTACCTAACGAATGAACTTTGATTTTTTTATTTCAGATGATCCAGCACCAAGTTATGAGCAATTCTACTTTTTTCCGAGACAAGTCCGAATAATTACTGCCATTGCCGTATTTTTTAATATTTCTCCGTGAAAATTTTATACAATATTCTTCGAATGTCATACTTTAATGTACTATTGGTTTTAATAAAGAGATTTTAACTGTGTCGTCACAAATAATTCACACAAACATGCCTTATTTTTTTACGAATTAACCTTACCCTTCCTTAAGCATTAATTTTATGATAGAAAGAATTTTAATAATAAATCATTAATCCAACTGGCTTCAAGCATTCTAATATATCTTGAAAAATGAAAGAAATGCTACTAGGATATTTTAACTAAAGATGATAAATTAGTTGGGCAAGAAACCCAATACGTAGGAAGCAAAAACCTAAAAAAAAAGAGAAAATTTAGTAAAAAATACTCTTTACATAAAGGAGCAATTACCTAATTATGTATTTAAAGCACCAAACGCGCATCTTCTATGGTAATAACGTGTCATCAACCATCGATGCCTACCATCTTTGGCAAATGCACAAGTCCGCGAAGCAACTCGCTGCTTGTGTTTACCCGATGCATAAATTTGTCATTCTGTTTTCCGCGTAAAACGTTTCAATGCACACAAGCGTTAAAAACACACTCGTCGGCTTGGTGGGCTTTGGTGGTGCGACCATTTCAAAGGATTAATGCACACCGTGCCGCTTCGTCGTTTACACTCATGAATAAAGAAATATCTCGACGGTACTCCACCCATAAAACACACGGTTATTTTGAATTCGGTCTCCCGCACACGTCGCGTGTCTCAACACGTGTTCGTATATATGCGCGTTTCGCTCTATACATAATACAGCGATTTACAATATTATTCATGTAACATTGGTGAAAAATCGTTCGATTCCCAAGTCAAGACGACGAACCGTCCAACTCTGATAAATATATCATTGACATATTTGCCGATGAACTGCAAATGTTTATGTAAATCCATATCTTTATAAACTTAAGAAAGGAATAGAACTGAATATTTGATACGATACTGTTAAAGTCACTTTCCTCAAAAATAAAGCTGCATTAACGATAATTTTATAGCGATCTCTCTCGTTCCTAGTTATATTGCCACCGTCTTTTATACAGGGTGGTTGGTAACTGGTGGTACAAGCGGAAAGGGGGTGATTCTACGCGAAAATAGAAGTCGAAAATATAGAATAAAAATTTTTCGTTTGAGGCTTTGTTTTCGAGAAAATCGACTTTGAATTTTGGTTCGGTACGCATGCGGTATGTTATAACGGATCTCGCTGTAGATCGTTGTCTCGATGGAAAAATAAAAAAAAAAATTTTTTTATTGTATATTTTCGACTTCTTTTTTCGCGTAGAATCACCCCCTTTCCGCTTGTACCACCAGTTACCAACCACCCTGTATAAAAGACGGTGGCAATATAACTAGGGCCTTCATTAGTTGATGTTAATTCGAAACGTAGATTAAATAAATCTTTGGCGCATGTAATTTTCCCTTGCATAATCTATTTACGATATTCATATTTAATAACTTATCATAATTTATTAAACAAGTGAATAAGATTAATTACATTGACGATGAGGCCAAGGTACATATTTCTCATTAAAAAGATCAGACGTAAAATATAAAACCGGATACAAACGTGCAAACCTATGGAAGATCGCGCAAAAATATTCATCCATTTTCACAAATGTTCCATCCTGTTCAAGATGAAGATATTACGTACATAGTATGTATCCGAATTAAACAAGCGCAAATACACAATCTGCTTTGCGGCGTACCGAAATTCACCGAGTGCACACGATTCGATACAAATTAGCGCGTGTTGCTGTTAAAACTAACAACTAATGATTACATACGTATATACATCGCTCAGCGCCACACACTTCTTATTGTTCAATGAAAAAAAGCATGATAGTTTAATTGAATTAAATCGTACCTGGAAAATTTTCTATTGTATGATGAAACAAGTACATATTTATTATATTTTTTCTACGTTGAATTCGATAAAAATTTTTGTGTTAACTATACGTATATTATTATTAAAATCAAGTAATAAAATCATCCAAGACATTTGAGATATCAAAAGAAATAGCAGTAAATGTTCGTCTGTAAAATCACAGGCGAACGAAATTTTATAGATAAACATATTCAGTTTAATCATTTCCCCCAAATTAACCAATTGGTCTCGATTTAACGGGGTTGCTCGGTCTCAATTAAACCGGTTAATCGGGTACTCACGGCGTAATATTATAAAACCTGTGTATGTATCATAAACTTATCGCATCGCTGTTCAGTAAAATACAGACACTACCAAATGATAAATCAGCGAAAAAATTCAAACAACCAACAATTATCTCTAAAAATATGCAACGCGTAAATTACATCTATTAACTACGTTAATTACACTACTCCATAGTTCCCTAACGTTAGTCGCCAAGAAAACAAAGAATAATCCAGACAATAAACTATTTTTGTGAAAACAATGCAACCATCCTTAATTTCATCTTATTGATAACATATTGCGCCAGCTAATTTCGTTCTGCAAATTTGAAAACCAACAAATTGTGAACGCGGCTATGTATGCACCTATAGCGGAGGGGAATTTGTAGAATGACAGAAGTGATACGCACGGGAAGACCTATTGGAAAAAGATGATCTAAGATTAGCGAGGTAACCGTTGAAAGTACGTATGAAGTTAGCTATCGGATTTCTTGGGAGGGCAGGAAACGTTTAAAATGTCAACAAGGTCGAAAGGCCGGGCGAGCTAATTGGCGCATGAATGTCACGGTGAATTTTAATCACCAAGCGCCATGTATTATAGGATCGCAATAGACATCTGTAACGCAGAGATACGATAAAACTGCGGCAAAATTCGTCTTCGTCGAAGCAGCTACACTATCGGTAACGTTTAACATTTCACAAGAAAAGTACCTTTTACTAACTCGTTTACGCGAGATATATTGGTCACATAAATATATGGAAAATTAAGAAATAACCTCTGAAATCTCTGGACGTTACGCCTATGAAAATGAATCAAATTAGATGGAAAAGTGTATTGTACCACGCTTTCGCAGGAAAAAAAAGGAACGAATCTCGAGTATGTCAACAAGCATCGATCGATAATGCTGACGCATACACATTCCGTACGATCTAACGGTCCATTGATAAATCATCGTGGAAGGTCAAATTAAGCGGTTCACACAGTGTTACAATTCAGAGAAGTATATGTGAAGGAGAAGAGCTTACGTTGCCCGTTGTAGTTGGTTCGCAGCAACACAAAGATAGCCAAATATTTCTCTTCGAAGAGAATCGTCCGTGATCACTGCTGGTTCCTTTGTCCGAGCTTTACGTGAAGAAAATGCAGAACAGCACACGAGAGACGCGCGTAATCCGCGAAAGGCTGAAGCCTCCAGTTGCTTCTTCTCTTCGGTAAGAAAATCGAGACATATAACGGAGTACTTCTCTTTCCACTGTCACTATGAACTTGTTATCCGAACCGTGACCGGCCGCAATTACACGCGATCTCGATTAAAAGATACATACGCACACAGTACAGTGACTGACAAGAACGGTGAATTTTCGTCAGTTCGAACTAGCGTCGGGAAAACCACCCCCTGCACAGCCGGCGCCCCAACAGCCATGTGCCGCCCTAAACCTCCGCCCATTGGCTCGAACCATACATTCTACGGACTCCTGATTCCTTCAAGACTCTTTTTATTACACGTAAAATCGTAGCTGACAAGAATTTCGAACGAACGCTCCGTTAACCGTTTAGTCTGTGTTACGTTATCATAAGCGACAACTCTGCACGACCCATCCCTACGGGAGCTCACCGAGAAGGGGGAATGGGAAAAGGCCGACTGACAAGACGTCACGTCTCCCGGGAGCGCTTCGATCTCTCTGAACTCACCATATCTACCGTACAGCTGGCCGCGTGTCTATACATAACACTGATAAATGCACCAGAGCCGTTGGACAGCTCGTAATTTCGACGTCGTTAAGCAGAAACGTGAAAAAACTTTGCCAAATGATTCACACACTGCACGCAGTCTTCACCCGCGAATCGAGAAAATGGCGTTGCTCGCTCCCTCGCGCTTGTTCGCTCTAGCAATACCTCAAGCTACGCTGATTCCTATCGTTGACTACTAGCGCCTATTCCTCGATGCGTGTAACCTAATAACTAGCACGCGGGAAAATCAAAACACCTTTTCTGCCAACAAATAATAATTTATAAAAAGAACATTTCACGAAATAGATCTAAATTGCCCCGTTGTCGTTAGAAATAATACGACAAATGTATACAACAAATTAAATTTTGACAAATAAAAAGCAAAATTATGTACATTTAAGTAAAGAAAATATATTTCAAGGAATATGTGGCGCCACTTACCGGGTGGTTGTATGATATGATGAAATGATAGTATTGCCGGTTTATCCGAATTCCGAATGATGCCGCGCGATAGTTGGGTGAGCGTATAAAGAGTTTTAACCAAGCATTTATAGTTGTATAAACATAAAACTCAATCTGGTTTTAGCAGCAAATTAAAAATAATTTAATGACATTATGGCTGACGAGACAGAGCAGGTAAAAACACTTGATTTAAAGTTCTGAATATGAACCTAACCTACTCTATTCTCATATATATACATATATATATGTATATATACATTTTCAGGTACCAGCAATAAACGTTAAAGAACCCCTAGATCTTATAAGATTGAGTCTGGATGAGAGAATATATGTTAAAATGAGAAATGAGAGAGAATTACGAGGACGGTTACATGTAAATATCATTTTTACAAGTATATTGTACCTGTTATTTATTATATTATATCTATGTATATATCTCTTAACCTGTTTTATATTTAATTATTATACAAAAACTTTTCATTGCAGGCTTATGATCAGCATTTAAATATGGTATTGGGTGAAGCGGAAGAGACTGTAACTACAGTAGAGATTGATGAGGAAACTTACGAAGAAGTATATCGTACAACTAAAAGAAATATCTCTATGCTTTTTGTTCGTGGGGATGGAGTAATTTTGGTTTCACCACCAAGCATGAGAGCACCGATATAAAATTTCTATTTATATATAATTTATCTAAACATAAGAGATAGATAATATTGAGTTAAATTCCATGTTGATACGATTTTATCAATCTTTTGTACTAGCATTTGACAGTTGTAAGAAATTTGTGAAAGTAACGGATTTAATTCGAATAAAGCTAAATATAACATAAATATAGAATTTATAATTTAAACGTGACAAAAGAAACTAAATTGTGGTACACTATATTAAAACAGTACATTACATTAAATGTTTATAAATAATATAAATGTTGAAGTACAATTTTATTTAAAATATTCTTAAAGGATTATTTTTTAAATTTTGGCGAGTTATATTTTCGTTCGAAGTTTTGAAATTGTACTAGCTGCAAAAGTTCTTGGTGTAATACTTTGTTCTATGGGTTTTATAATTTGTGACGTAAGATCTGTAATTCTTTGATCTTTCAGTTTTATCAGAGATTCTAGGTGAGACACTTTTTGATGAAGAATATTTATCAGTTCATTCTTTTCTTCTAATTCTTGTTTTAGTCGAACGAAGACATGACGCGGAACAGTTTTATTTGCTATTTCTTCTGGGTTGAGCACTGACTTAACAACTTCTTTTCAAAGAATGAAATTGTGCTTAAATAATTTCTTATACAAATTTTTACACGAGATTTTATATTTATTGTAATCATTCACTTACCTTTCTTTTCGTCTTCTTCATATTCGGCATATAAAGAATTTCTATCCGCATTACAATCTTTTAAAATTTTAGCTCGCAGTTCGATTAAAATTTTTTCGATAACACCGGGTTGCGAATTTGCTAGTTGATTGATCACGTCTTTTCCTAATTTTACATCAAGTTTTGAAAGTACTTTGCGATTTAAAGTGGACCAGTTGTCTATTTTTTTTGCAATACTATTTCCAGGAATATAATTATGTATATCGACGTATCTGGGATAGTATCGTTTTAACAATTCAGCCATAAAAACTAAAAGTTATTGAAATATATTTTAAATATCACACAAAGAATTGCAAAATTATTTTCTAAAATATGAACTTTGTTTTATACCACCGTCAGAAAAATCTCGAGCAAGATTTTTTTTTGGTTTGGAAAATGATATTTGCTCCATCCAAGTATATATTTCTTCGAGGTTCGCATTAGATTCTAATTCTACACTCATATTTCTCTATCATTTACAACAGTAAAATCAGAAAATGATTTTTTCATACATTGAAATTTACGAATGTATCGCTATATCTTTGTTACATTCTGTCAGCCTGCAAATTTTTATTAGGTCGACATAATATGTATACTACATGCTCTTTACGAATGCAACTTCATTTTGCATCGATTTGATTAATTTTAGTTTGTTTTACCACGTTTTAATTTCAGAACTATGCTCATGGCAAACGTCACGTGTACCACATTGCGTCAGATTAAATAACGGTAAGCGGAATGACAACTAAACTTCGAACATTGCATAAGATGCAACTAAAAAATTAGGTTCAATTACATAAAAAACTAACTTTTATTTGTCTTATATAAATTTTCAAATAATTACAAATCAATCAAATTCATAGTTTTCTAGTCTATAGTTTTCTTCAATTCAACTTTTCAATTTAACTAGCAACGAATATCTAAATAACTTATTCGTTGTGAATGTATTAGATAATTTAATACAGTCAAAATTTATCGAGTAATATATTTAAAAAAAAGCAAGTTAAGATTTGAATGAATGATATAATTTTTGGATACTGAAACTATTTGGAAACGTGATATTTGCTTGGTATTTTAATTCAGATATTCATAACGGAAAGTAAATGTTGCACGTATTAGCAGTCAAATAGGGATGAAGTATTTCGATAGCGTTTGTACTTCTTGTATTTCACTAAAATCGAAGAGAGACATTCTTGGAATCAATGGACAGGTTCAGCGTAAATATGATCACGTCACAGCGACGGAGGTGTTTGAGGACGGTGCGTTCGAGCCTGCGTTCACGCGGGCTATGGCATTTATAGAAGAGGCGCACGCCCGTACTCCTCGGAAAGGTTTGAGGAAACAGAAGCATCACATTCGACCTCAGTGGCACGTTGCACGCACTAGGCATCGAATCAGAAGAAATGATAATTTTGAATTTAAATATTCGATAACCGGTTAAAATTCGATATTCTTCAGATAAATTATATTCTCCAAATTTAAGTTTCTTGTCGAATTTGGATGATCGTGAGATTGAAAATAACAAGTGGTCGATAATTATTAATTTTAAACATATTATAAAGTTAGATTTTTAGTCATACTACGTTAAAAAGTTTTATCGTCTTACAAAAAGTATATTTCGAAGTGGTGAAAGAGATTGTTAGTCGTTGACTCAAGAAAAAACATGACTGAAAAACACAAGGGTGAGTAATTACAGTTTTTTACTTTTAATATGTTCTAAACTAGAGATTGGATATTAATAACTTTCTTTCGAAAAAGTGGAAACGATGAGTAAATTCCAGCTCTTACAATTTACATCACACTTTTCTCATAGAAGTTCCATACCTATGACCTTCAAATGTCCTCTGGTCTATATTTCAAATTTTTTATTGGAATATTTCAATATCAAATATTTCAGTATCAAACAACTATATAAGTTTAGAATAAAGCTAAAAAATTTATTATATATTATATTCAAATTTTTATATAATTGGGGAATAAGACGTAAATTGAAGCGATATGTAATCAAGTTGTAAACCGCGTTGTTATTTCTTATATGGTTGATGCAATTCTTTGGTTTTATCGTTAACATACGTAGGTGATAATTATTCCTGTAAAGTTTTATCTCTTCATAGTTAATATATTTTCCATTTATGTTTACATAGACAAATGTAATTGACAATCTATGACAATCCAAAACATAAAACATTAATTTACTATTTGTATTATTATTTGATCTTCATTGAAGTAAATATTGTTGTGTTAAATATATTTGTCTTGCGGTTCTTTGACAAGTGATATTCTGGAACTTCGTTTTACGTGCTCGTTGACCTATATCTGGATCGAAAATAAATGCTTGCGATAAAAAGAAAGTTTTAAAAATTTATAAAAGATATTCGCTTTGGTCCACTGAACGCATCTGCTTACGGCTATCATTTTTATTAAAAAATGATTGAATGTAGAGTTATCAAATAAACCATGATAAAATATTATTTATCAACACGAAAATACTACATGTGATCGGAATGTGTAATTACAACATTCTTTCATATCTGTCAGTATATCTGTCGATATATCTGTCAGTATTTTCCTAATATTTCTTATAATTCATAATTCTGTCCTGGATGAAAGAATATCTCGAGGCAAATAATATACCTACACAATACTTTTAAAATAAAAGTCTAATTAAATATAACTAAATTACAAGAGAAAGATCATATAAGTTATATCTTTATCTTTTGACTTTCTTGTTTAATAAATCCTTATTTATATTAAAGAATTGAATTCTTTATTTAAAGATAGCTCTAGAAATTATAGAACAGAAATATAATTAGGATATTTGAATCTATTTTCGAAAAAAATGTATTATTTTCATGTGCACAATACGTATACAAAATCGTATAACCGCACAAACAGATGAAGAAGTCGAATACCTGATGACTCCTTCACCTGTACTTCGTGCCAAACGGCACGTCCTCTGTTCGTATCTTGCGGTATGATTTTCCCCGCGGTATCATATTACCGAGTCAATCATATCTGAAAATTCGTTTTTGCTTATTTATAAGTAATCAACACGTCGACTTTAAATGTATTTGTAGGACACATTATATTCCCTATACGGTACCTGATGGCAATCATGGGTTCTATCGGGCTCGCCATCATCTACGGGTTCAAGGTAAACGTAAGTGTGGCTATCGTAGCTATGGTGAACCACACTGCTGTAAAGTTATCCGCGTTGCATCAATTGGAATCTGAGAATACAACTGTGATTACTATGGACGAATGTCACCACGATAGTGTTCTTTCCAACGAGACGAAAACAATCACCGAGGTACATATATGTATAAATGTATTACTGATAACTTTATAACAATTAGTAATATCAATTTTTTAAATAGTAATTTTGCATTAAGATATATTAACAATTTTCGTACATGGGAACTTTATAATTTTAACAAATTTCATACTTAGATACAATGCAAAAAAAATAAAATATAATCGTATTTACCTTTCAATGATTCCATTTTAATATAGTTGCATCAGTATAATATGGACGACAATAATTCGATCCGTAATAAAATAAAGGTTACATTATATAAAATTTTATCCTGCTATATATTTTCTTATTTTCGTATAGAAAAATAAATCTATTACTTTATTTTTATTTCTCACGATTTCTCTAATCGTGCTGTATATCAAGCTCCATAAGATAAATAGAAATTTTTGTTGAAAAGAGATGTGATATTGATATTTATTTATATAGGATGGCCCATTCGTGTGGAATGAACCTTTGCAAGGTCTTATTTTATCATCATACTTTTGGGGCTATATGGTATCCTTACTTCCGGGCGGCAGAATGGCTGAACTCTTATCTGCCAAATGGGTGATGAACGGGTCGGTATTTCTAAACCTCGTAGCATCTATATTATCACCTGTTGCTGCTGAAATGCATTACTCTCTCTTCATCCTGATGAGATTTATTCAAGGAATCGGTGGTGTTAGTAAAAAAAAACTATTACATATTCCGAATAGGTGTTGAAATTAAATATGTAATATTATAATAAAATTATAAAACTACAGGGTGTAACATTTCCGGCAATGCACATTATGATTGCTAAGTGGGCTCCACCAAACGAGAGAAGCGTCCTTGCCTCGATTGTTTATGCAGGTAAAATAAAATTTTTGCTAATTGAAATTAAATAATTTGGAATTTTTATTATCTAAAGATATAATCTTTTTATTTCATTTAAATAAAAAATCGGGAAAGGTTGAAACTACAACTTCGGTTACATTACTTTATGGGTTACATTAATCTATACATAATACAATAACATGAAACTGCCTTTATCGATTAATGATTACAGCTTGAAGCATTTAATAATATATTAAAAATTTATGCACGAAAATAAAAATTTCTCAAATTTTTAATTTTCGCTTCCACAGTCAGTCATCTATCTCTGAAACTATACATAACTTTTATTTTCTGCAGGAACTGCTCTAGGTACTGTGATTTCTATACTCTTAACGGGAATGCTGGCTGCAAATTTCGAATGGATATGGATATTTTATATCGAAGGTGCACTTTGTCTAATTTGGTGTACAGCATGGTGGATTATGATTGAAGATAGCCCAGAGGAACAAACGAGGTTTATTAGTCAAGAGGAAAAGGATTATATTATGGAATCTTTAGGTCAGAATAAAAATAACAGCGGGCATAAAGAGGTTTGTTAAATTTTACAAAAATCATATTTAAGACTTTTATATATGTATAATTAGTATCTTTATTTGTTATATTCGTAATATTGTTCAGAAATTATCAGTTCCCTGGGGCGAGGTATTACGATCTAAACCATTTATGGCAATCTTAATCGCTCATTTCTGCAGTAATTTTGGTTGGTACATGTTGCTTATCGAGCTGCCTACTTTTATGAATCAAGTACTGAAGTTCGATATGAGTTCTGTAAGTATTGAAGAAGTTTAAGTAAGTTAAGTAAGTATTTAAGAACTTTAAATTTTTTAAATTAATATCGCTAATAACTCTCTTTTTCTATAGAATGCTGGTCTTTCTTCGATGCCATTTTTATGTATGTGGATTTTTACTATGGTGCTTAGTAAGATACTAGCCATTATGCAAGACAAAAAATTAATTACGGTAACGGTATCGAGAAAAATTGGAACACTGTTTTGTAAGTTTACTATTTGTATATACTATATATGTATAATTTAAAAGCATACAATTGGGTTAGGTAATAACAGTCAAAAATATATTTCTTTTTAGCATCCGTTATTCCCATGATATGTTTAATAGGAGTATCATATGTTGGTTGTAGTCGAACATTAGCGGTTACATTAATGACTATTGGAGTAACATGTATCGGTGGAATGTATAGCGGGTTCTTATCAAATCATATTGATATTGCACCAAATTTTGCTGGTACTCTTGTCGCCATTACAAACTGTGTTGCTACCATACCTGGGTTTGTTGTACCAATATTTGTCGGAAAATTGACATACGGAAATGTAAGTATCTATATACAGTAAAATATCATTAACACCTTTCAAGCAACAAGCTTTTAGGCACGAAAACATGAAACAAATTTATACATTTATTAGATTAAAAAAAAACTCGAAACATTAAGGGATTGATTTTACGTTATGGTATAGTGATTATTTATGAATAAAGTGCAAAATTCGATCTATTTTACATTTTTTCTATCGAATACTTTATCTCAGTAACTATAATGTTATCATTAATATTATTATCATCAAATGTTTTATAGCAAACTATAGGAGCATGGAGGATTATATTTTATACAACTGTTTCATTATACATAATCGAGATATTAGTCTACACTATTTTTGGAAGTGGAGAAGAACAACCTTGGAACAAAATTAAACCAGCTGATGAAGAAGCAAGCGATCAAACATTACCATTAAAAGAAAAGTCTATGAAGTGAATGTAATTTTTGAGTGTATGATGTGAATTGATTTTTGAACTTCACATTGAACAATTAGGTTTAGTAATCATCTTGTGCGAAAGAAATTACTTAAATATTTAATATCATTAATGAACTGTTTCATTTTTCACATTATTTATCACAATAAATAGTGAAATATAATTATAACCTCTTACATTACAACTGTACATGTACATATTTATTAAATATTACTCTTTTTTATAGCAACATGTTACATACTTACAATTGTCTGCATAGAAATATAAATTATTTCATTATTTAATTATTTAATTTTAATTATCCAATAGGCTCTCAGTCATTCACACCTATTGCACTTTCACCATTTTACAAAAATACATTGGTCCCCAATTATTTTTCAGATTAGGTACAACAATATGACCATATTTTAAGTCAATGTTACCAAAGTTATATAGACATCGTAAGGGTAACAGTGCTTCTGTCATATCTCTATGAGAATTATATAATATATCAGAAGTCAGTATCAACAATAAAAATAATAGTATTATTTATTTAGAGAAATATATAAATACGTACTTTACGACCATAACAGAATTGTTTTCTTCCCACGCTTTTTTTAATGCTACATGTACAACACCATCATTTTGTACAGGACTAAGTGAACATGTTGAATAAACAACTGTACCTCCTACTGAAACCAATTTCAATGCAGTCCTATAGAAAGGAAATACAATTATTTATGACAAACTTAAAAAATATAAAATAAGATATCTTATCTACTGACGTTAAAATCTCAGACTGAACTTCTGGCATTTTTAATCTTTCCTTAACTCTACTTGGTTTGAAAATATTGTTGTCATCAGAATGTAAAATGTGCCTATCCGTTGTACATGGTACATCAACTAAGATCTAAAAAAGTTAAGAGGAGTAAAATATTGAATAAGATATTGTTCCATTCACAAAGTAAGTAAACAATAGAAAACATTGTATTGAACTGGACACCTTGTTATATCTACCATTCTCATCAATTGCTCTAGCGTCTTGTTGTGTTATAATTAACATATTTTCTTTTTCGCACATGTTTAAAACATATTGATTCATAACGTTTTTGAGTCTTTTTATTCTAGATTCTGTAACATCATTAGCAACCAGTATACGAGGCATAAGAGTTTGGAGGATGGTCAAAGCTTTCCCTCCAGGTGCAGCACACATATCAAGGACCATATCATTAAACTGTATATCTAGAGCCAACACAGGAAGTATAGATCCACCATCAAACAAGTAATAATCTAAAAAATATAGGATATGTTAGTAATAAAATAATTCATAAAATATTCTAAAATACATAAACATTTAATTTATTATTATTATTAAAATCCATAGAAAATGATACAAACCTGAAACACCAGTAGATCCTTTCTTAGGATTTGGAAATCTACTGTTATTTTCTCTTTCAAAAGCATACATATGCAAATGTTCTGGAAATGGCAGAACAAATTCTTTCTCAACATTTATTTGAAAATCACTAGCTTTATCATAAAACCTATAATAGTCAGATTCCAAAACCCAATCATCCAAGCCTATAAAACATATTTGTAAATACATATTTCAATTTTGATTAAAGAAACATTAGAATTAAACAAACCTTTTATTTTGGTAGCAGGTATATATTCCTGAAGTATAGCTGAGTCTACAGGTGAATTGACGATACGATTGGTATCTAATTCCACTTCATTTAAATTTTCATCTATAGATTTTAGTTCTGTAGGTATTCGTTGATCTTCCTTAACAAATTCAGTAGTTTCAGCATTTAATGTTTCGAATAAATTTGGATAATTAGTAGAATAAGTTGTTTGAAGTTCTGCTAATTGATCTTTAGATGTTGTAATGTCCTCTGAATTTTGTTTATCTGGAAAATTACCATATCTTGCTGCTCTTTTAGCTTTAAAGAATTCTACATTTTCTTTTTGTACATTATATAAACTCTTCAAATTTATTGCACCAAGTAACTGTAACAATTTTATCGATACAACTCTTCAACATTTTTAATACTTTCAGTTTACGATTATTATCTGCAATATTATTGGTATTACAATAATGTACCTCCAACTCAGGTTGGATTCTTTCTGGATCACTGAAATTATTAACCACAGCCATATATTTAGATTCTTCTGATAACAATGCAGCTCGTATATCTGGCCACTCATCTCCATAAACGCCTGCGTAAAACTCATTAAAATGTTCAAGTGCTTTATCTTTTGCCGCTTTCTTTTTCTTCAGTTTAGCCTATGATAATAATTATATATTCTTTCAAATGTATTCAAAGAGAATGTTTGAGTTTTAATCATAAGGTTATAAAGATACAAACCCAGTGAATCTTTTCATGTGCATATCGAGCAGATACTTGTACAATCTGTTTTAGTTTTAACTTATTAAGTAGCACTATCATTCTTTTGAAATATCCAATTAGTCGATTGGAACCGAATATGTCATGAGCTCTCTAACTTACATTCCCAAGTATATATGTGTCTTATATACTAGAAAATAAAGAAACCGAAGAGGCGGCAAAATTCGTTACTCGATATCGCTACTCGATGGCGCTAGCTGTGTATTCAATTTTCTTTCGAACGCAAGAAGTAGTTGACGACGATTAACCGTTAGTGAGAGCGGTGTAAAGAAGAAGGGCGTGATCCGGCGTGAACTGCAGGTACAGGTGAAACAGGACAACCGACAAATCCACGAGTTACGGTACTACCGGTGCTACTTGTCTCTAACACTGGACGTCACATCTTTTTTATCAATTCAGCGTTTACTTCTGCGTGACCCTTTCTTTTCCTACTTTGCCGACTTTCTTTACTGCAAACTCCACGTCGTAGGATACAAACAAAAACTGAAAAGTTATATGCATGCACGCGTAAGTATATGCAATACCTAATCGACCTATGTATTATATTAGATGCAGACGACAAGGAAGCGACGTATTTGTCGTGACATCGAGATGAGAAACGTGCCGAGCAAGATGGAGTGAATGGGGGTGGTGGGGATGAGGACGAACACATCTTTGTGCTCCCCTCTTGCGAAGGCGCCCGTGCGCCATGAAACGTGGCTGTTTCGAAAGTTCCTACTCGAAGAACCTATTTTAGATGCTATAAACCATCTCAGCTTGTAAATTGTTTTCGGAGGTATACAAGCCTCGGTACCTGAAGAATGAAGTTGCAACGTATTCTAGGAAACTTTGAAATTTTTCCCATAATTTACAACGCTTTAATGCACGATTTTTCGTATTTACGGAATTTACGCGTTTACGATATTTACGCGTTTCATAGACCTGGTCGTAAAATCTTCCTTGAACATATAACATGTCCTCTGGCATTCGCGCGATGTGATTTCGAAAAATTCCACCGTATCTATAGAGTGAGAAATGTAAATTGAGAATCGAGTGAGGCCGACACGATAATCTTGTTACCCTCGAAACGCGTACAACATACTCTGGTGAAAGTCTCCACTATAGACAGTAGACGCGAGTTCAGTGTTCTCGAGGGGAACGAAAAGAGAACGTCGCGTCGTCGCGCAGGAGATCAGCTCTTTTGCTTCCAAGTGAAGATCACAACTCTAGTCCATGGGGTGCGGTATACCCTGTGTATGCCGAGAGACACATACCTCGTCAATACTTTTGTGTTCATTGTCACGCATACAGAAACTCTTCCTCTCGATGAATCTCGACGACCCGAATCGCTCGACGGCGAAGCTGGTTTCGTGGATCTCTTCATGAGAGGCACGTCGTACGCGATTTGTCGGGGCACGGGGTGTGACGGGGACTCGAGGGATCGTAAAGGCAATGCACTGTAAGGAGCTCACGACGACTATACCCTCCTCCCGCCCCTC